GACAAAGCCTTGGGGTTTTTGTTTTTTTGTGTGTTTTTTTTTTTTTTAGTTCAGATCAATCCTAACCCAGCAAGAGCATCACCTTTGGACTCAGGCAGACCTGGTTTGAATACTGGCTATGATTTTCCTCGCTCCATGAGTGGGAAAGTTACTCTATCCCTCTAAGCCTGTTCCTCACCTGCAAAATGTGGGTAATAACACCTACCTTAATAGAAAGGGAAAAGGATCAAGTTAGAAAGGTAGTGCCTGGCACACGTTAAGTGCTCACTAGAAATGTTCTCTGTTTTAACAGAGTTCAGGGGAGAGGGGGGCTCCCATTTTTCAGCAAGATGATAGGCAAATAATGGAATTTGAATTGGATAAGATTTGAGGGATGCATTGAGTTTATTGATAGAAAGATAAGCATTCTAAACAGAAAAGCCACATGACTGAGGACATGGTGGTCGGCATTCCTGGTGCAATAAAGAAACAATCTGACCCAGGAAGAGGATGTGTGTTTGCAAGTCTTGGACAATAAGGCTAGGCAGGAAGGGTGGTGTCTGCTCCTGAAGGGCCTTCAGTGCCAGGCCAGGAGCTCAGGATCCGAGGGTTTTTATACATATTTCTGAGCTCCCTAAGCTCCTCCTCTAAGCTCCTCCAGAGGAAGGACAGCATCTATGATATTCATCTCTTTACCCCCAGCATCTAACACAGCACCTGGCACATAACAAATTCCATAATTATTTGTGGAATGAATGAGTGATGTTGTATCTTCTTTGGTCCACCACAAGGCACTCTGAATTTCCTGATTCTTGACCACCCCCAAAAGGACTGGAGGCCCCTCCTCTGTGTCCCCACGACAACCCATACGTCTAGTGTAGTACTTATTACTTTATTATAATTGTTTGCTGCCCTTACCAACTTCCCACCTGCTATGGAGCCTGTGATACCTTATCACCTATGTAATCCCAAACCCCAGCACAGAGCCTAGAACTCACTAAAAATGTGTTGGGAAGATGAATGGATAGATGGGGAAAGAGATCAACAGTAATTCACTCAATCTATCTTTTAGGAAATCTCTCTTGTGACCAACTACACCTATCTGCCAGATAGATGGATGGATGGATGAATGAATGAATAGCTGGCTGGGAAATGTTAGAGATGATGACTGTTGGAGAAGGCTCAAGTAACTTATAGAACATAGGAACCTTGCTTCTGATCTGCATAGTACTTACTTGATTTTTGATCTTTGGAAAAGTCTCTTGACTTCCCTTTTTTTGTGTTTCTTCACCTGTAAAATAGACATTACACTCCTTTTTAGCCTGCCATTCAGAACTCTTAACCTTGCTCCTTAATTATATTCTTCTATTACTCTTCTGCTCCAAAATGTGTCTCACCTAGGGCCTAGAAAAATACCATAGACTAAAAAGCTCAGAAGTAGGTTGATACATATGTAGAGATAGAGACAGAGACACAGATGGGAAGGTGGAACAGAAGAATAATTGTATGACAATGGGATGTGGCTAGAGTGCTTAAATAAGCTGTGCAAATCACAAATCAGTAAGGAAAGAATCAGTTTATGGGATCATTTACACAAAATAAATTTATGCACAGCAACAGTAGCAAAGACAATGTTGAAAGATACAATCTGGGAAAAGATATTTGCTATGCACATAACACAAAGAATGAATCAGACTCATGCTCATGGGGGATGTACAGACCTGCATACAACTAATCATAGACATTCCAATTCCCTAGGTGGAGCACTAGGTGAGAAGGTGTGGATTTACAGCTAATGACCTAGAAAGGGCACATAACCCCCAGGTCACATAGTTTAGAAAGTAACCCAAAGAGAAACAGGAACTTTACCTGCATGATGGAAAAAGTTCAAGTTCCAGATTTAGAGGCTACCTGCCTAGTTAGCTTCAGCTACTAGTACTTCTGGTCTCATCTGAAGGAGCAAATATCAGTCTAATTGTAGTGCCTCTCAGCTACACACACACACACACACACACACACACACACACACATGCTTTTCATCTGCATACATTTGCTTATTTTATTGCTTTGGCTATCACACATTGCCCCTCTTTGCCTGGCTCATGCAGATGTCTTCTCCTCAGGTTGACCCTTCTCTGTGCTACATCTAAGGCCTGCCTCTTAATGCAGGCACACTGCCCCATTAAGTATATTATAATGGTCTGCTTAACTGCCTGGTCCCCACTCCAAACAACCACCCCTGCCAACCCCAGGCTGTGAGCCGCTCTAAGGCCAAGCCTGGGTCCTACATATTTCTCTATCACCAGCACCTCATACAGCCCATTGAAGAGGCTCAATGAATGTTCAATGAAATAAACGGAACCACGAACACAATGCTATGGAGTACTTCCTTCTATCTGGAGGAAGGAAGAAGGAAGGATCGGGGAAGGTGTCACAGAGCAGGTGACATTAGAGCTGGGTCATGAGAAATTATAAAAGATAAACAACAAAAAGCTACAGGGGCATCTTCAAAGAGATGAGGAAATCTCATCTAATATTATTTAGTGATAATTACCAGAGGAACGTTAGCTTTGCCAAGACAGGTATTTTGTCAGTTCTATTCAACAAAATATCCCCAGTGACTGCTACATAGTAAGCACTCAATAAATATATGTTCAGTCATTTGGACACTTGGGGGTTTATGGAAATAAAAAACACACAAGCGATGCAATGTAACAGAGCACAGTATAGTACAATCCTGTTATGTGATAACTCTGGGTCGCGAGAATAGGAATTCTACGAGAGTAGGAAACAGATTCGTCTTGATCCCCCTGTATCCCTTAGTATATAGTTCTGGGCAATGTTGCTGCTCAAAAACTTTTGTGGAAAAAAAATGCCAATTAATAAACATCTAGAATACTATTACATCCTAAAATTATATAAGCAGAGCAGCAGAGGGAACATACCATGCGTTTCGATGTTAAACAACACCTGGCTTCTAAGTCAGGTTCTGATACATGCTATGTGGCCTTGGGTAAGTTCCTTATTTTCCTCACCTGACAGGGCTGTTAAGGGGACAAAATGGATATAAAGAAGGCGCACACGCGCGCACACACACACACACACACACAATGGAGTATTACTCAGCAATAAAAAAAGAATGAGCTGTCTTCTTCAGAGCTGCCTACAGAGGTGGCAGCCACTTCCTATTCTGCCTCATGGCAGCCCTCAGACCCCTCATGAAACCCACGATCAATCATCAGAAAGAGGACCAAGAAGCTCATCTATCACCCGTCAGGCAGCTATGTCAAAATTAAGCGGAACTGGTAGACACCCAGAGGCATGCACAATAGGGTGCACAGGAGATTTAAGGGCCAGACCTTGATGTCCAACACTGCTTATGGGAGCAACAAGAAAACAAAGCCCGCGCTGCCCAGTGGCTATTGAGCGTTACTGGCTCACAGTGTCAAGGAGCTTGGGGTGCTGCTGATGTCCAGCAAATCTTACTTTGCAGAGATTGATCCCAACGTTTCCTCTCACAACAGCAAAGCCATTGTGAAAAGAGCGGCCCAGCTGGCCACCAGGGTCACCAGTCCCAACGCCAGGCTGCACAGAGAAGAAAATGAATAGACAGCTTATGTCACATTGTATTTGAGTTTAATAAAACCATAAAATTCTTCCATCTGGCATTTAAAAAATATTTATACTAGGGGCCTGGTGCACAAAATTGGTGCATGGGGGGGGGCGGATTCCTTCAGCCTGGCCTGTGCTCTTTCGCAGTCTGGGACCCCTCAGGGGATGGGGGATGTCGCCTGCTGGCAGTGAGACATCCCTCTCACAGTGGAGGACCCCTCACTCTTTACTCCCCCCCTGCAGCAGAGGCAAGAGAGGCTCCCGCCACCGCCACCACTGCTGTGCTCGCCAGCTGTGAGCTCAGCTTCTGGCTGAGTGGTGCTCCCCCCGTGTGTGCCTTCTTTAACTCCTGCATTTAGTGTCTGCCCCTTAGTGGTCAGTGTGCATCATAGTGATCAGTCATTCGCCATTTGGTCAATTTGCATATTAGGGTTTTATTATATAGGATATATATATTAAATAAAGAATTAAATCTTGCCATTTGTGTCATGAATGGACCTAGGTGCTAAGTAAGTCAGAGACCGATACAGTATGACTTCACTTACATGTGTAATCTAAAAAACAAACAAAAACAAAACAAAAACGAACAAAATAAAAACAGATTCATAGAGATGAAACTGATGGCTGCCAGAGGGGAGGGGTTGGGGGGGGATAGGTGAAAAAGGTGAAGGGGAATATAGTCAATAATATTGTGACAACTTTGCACAGTGACAGATGATTACTAGACTGTATGGTGATCACATTGTCAGGTATGTAAATGTCGAATCGCTATATTATACGCCGGAAACTAACATACTATTATATTCCGACTATCCTTACATAGGAAAACAAGTCAATGCGCATAGGACACTGCCTGGCGGACAGTAGTCAGTGAGTGAGTTCTCTACAAGTCTCCGACAGTACACACGAAAACACACTAACGGCTAAGAGGACAGCCGCCAGGGAGAATAACTGGTGCTAACAGGCCTCGGAAAGGATGAAGCACGAGCTCCCGCCGGCCCTTCGGAAACACTGCCTTCGGGACAGGGGAGGCTAACCCCTCCCGCAACCTAAGTTTCAAGCCGCACCGGCCTCCGGCGTCGCTTCCGCCTCCGAGGCGTTCGAGGGGGCGACCCCCCGGTCAGGCGGGATGCGCGCCTGCGAGTCTCACGGGGATCACGGAGCCGCTCCACGGTGGCTCCTGCCACGACCCAGTCTTCTCCTTAGTAACCGCGACGCGGCGGCCAGCCCTCTGGGTAGCAACCGGCAGCCGGCGCGTCTAACTACTACAAATCCCAGCAAGCCCCGCGGCCACTTCTGAGGGCAACCTCGCGTCAGCCAGCTGCGAACTACGGATCCCGATGGGCTCCGCGCGGCACGTCACGCCGTGGGCTCCAGCCAATCGGCTTCGGACAAGTAGGAGTGGGAGGGAGACGCCGAGATAGACAAGATGGCGGCGGCTGGACAGGGCGGGAGGTCTGGTGGCGGCGGAGGCAGTACTGGGGCTGGCGGTGGCTCTAGCTGCGGGACAGGCAGTGGCCGCAGCGGCTTGTTGGACAAGGTGAGGAGACAACTCTGGGGGACGGCCCAGGCCAGCGGAGGCCTGGGGGGCGGCGAGCCCACCTTCCCATCACCGCCCCCCTTCTCTTCAGAGGTTTCTCGGGGGAGTACGGGTCTGGCCCACCATGGGAACCCGACGGGCGCTTACAGCCCGCTCCCTCCCCATGTCAGACCCGGGCTCTTTCCTCGTTAGGTCTTCTTTCCTTCTCGGACGCGCTCCTGGTCCTTTATTGCTGGCCACCACCGCTTCTTAGGATAGATGACCCCATTATTCTCACGTTTCCACGCGGCCGTCGCTCTCCCTCGGCGGTGCTGGGGCTCCTGCTCAATGTGCCCATTTCACCGACGGGGAAAGCGGAAGCCCGAAGGAATGAGAGCGTCCGCTGGAAGGCGGGAGTCCCTGAACTCCCCACCACGACTGCCACCCTTGCGTATCGCTAGGGGTTCAAGTTTCTGGGCGTTTTGTCACGGACACCCCGAATACTGCACTTAATTGAGTATTGACTTCCCCTGCTGGACCCCCAGGAAGCCTTTAAGATTTATCTTTTCTCTCGCCCCCCATTTCCCTCCCTTTCTGCCTCCAAGTGCTCTAGTCTAGGTGATCGAATTCGCGAGTTCGTTGCTTGTTCCTGCTTTGCCTCTTCCCCCCTCGCCCAGCCACGTTTTTAAAAACTACGGTCCTGGCAACAAGGGTTGAAAAGAAAAAAGGAAAACTCCGTTCTTGGGTTGTGCCTTCTTGTCCTTTGCAGAGCATAGCATCTTGGACGAAACAGTTGCATAGAGATCTGCGTCCCAGTCCTGGTTCTGCCTCCAATTAATTACTGTGTGACCTTGAATTATGCTTATTCTTCCTGTGTATTTGCTCATCTGGAAGGCGGGTTTCGCCTTAAGGTTCCTTTCAGTGCTCATTGTAGGGCCCTGGGCCAGTTTGATGAGAAATGTTAGGTGTGGGTCTTTTGATATAGTCGGTAGTCAGTATTTTTTACTTTAATTGAAAACAGCTTTTGGACTTCCCTGTGCCTGACACATGGTAGGTGCTGGAGAAATGAGTACGTATCCAATGGAAGGGTCCTGGTCTTTTTGCTTCTCTTTTGGTGTCATCGGTTTTGAATGACATAATTCTCACACTCTGAACCCTTCTTAAGGGACAGAATGTGTTCTGGGGGCTGGGTTCAGAGCACATTGCCCCCAAACATGCGAAAATGTTGGGACTTGATGGTCATTTTCATGCACAAATCCTGCCTTCCTGCCGGGTGAGCGCCTCACAGCCTGTGCTCACCCTATTGACTGCGTTTGCCTTTCCCTCTGTTTGGATTACCACCAGCAAACATTACGCTGGGCATTCTTTCTGCTAAGGTAGTGATCACTGAAAAGTGGATGGCATCCTGGTGTTATTGAAAGAACCTGGATTTGGGAATCATAACATGTGGGCTTTGAAGTAGCTACCTTCAGACTGTATGAATGCGTTGTTAACCTCACTACGCCTCCCTTTCTTCACCTGAAGTGTTAGGGTTTGGGGGAGAATCAAATGAGATGATATGCATTAATGATCTCCATAACCTGTAGTGTCTAATACACATGTGTGATGGCCTAGGAATAAATCAAGAATCCTGTTGTCAGAAAGTACTCCGTATTGCTGAGTATAGGACATGGGATACCCAGAATATTAAACATAGAAGTTTTTGGTGTATGTAGTTGTGTACTTTTTACAGAAGTGCAAATGAGAGAGAGAAAATGATCCCTGAGTTCTGATTGATAAGGGGGTAAGGCCCCAGGGGATGACCTCTTGTCTGAAGTGGAGCGGGGACTTTTTTTGTGGGGAGGGGACTTTTTTGTGGGGAGAGCGAGGGAAGGCATATACCAGTTAATGTCCTTGAGCAAAGGTACACAGATGGTGCCGGATGTTTCTTAGGTAGTGAGTTGATTGGACTGTTCTGTAAGAAACCTGTAGTGATGGGATTGAAGAGGGCATGGGCCCTAATTGGTTTGGCTCAGTGGATAGAGTATCAGCCTGCAGAGTGAAGGGTCCTGGGTTCGATTCCGGCCAAGGGCATATGCCTGGGTTGGCGAGTTCGTTGCTTGTTCCTGCTTTGCCTCTTCCCCCCTCGCCCAGCCACGTTTTTAAAAACTACGGTCCTGGCAACAAGGGTTGAAAAGAAAAAAGGAAAACTCCGTTCTTGGGTTGTGCCTTCTTGTCCTTTGCAGAGCATAGCATCTTGGACGAAACAGTTGCATAGAGATCTGCGTCCCAGTCCTGGTTCTGCCTCCAATTAATTACTGTGTGACCTTGAATTATGCTTATTCTTCCTGTGTATTTGCTCATCTGGAAGGCGGGTTTCGCCTTAAGGTTCCTTTCAGTGCTCATTGTAGGGCCCTGGGCCAGTTTGATGAGAAATGTTAGGTGTGGGTCTTTTGATATAGTCGGTAGTCAGTATTTTTTACTTTAATTGAAAACAGCTTTTGGACTTCCCTGTGCCTGACACATGGTAGGTGCTGGAGAAATGAGTACGTATCCAATGGAAGGGTCCTGGTCTTTTTGCTTCTCTTTTGGTGTCATCGGTTTTGAATGACATAATTCTCACACTCTGAACCCTTCTTAAGGGACAGAATGTGTTCTGGGGGCTGGGTTCAGAGCACATTGCCCCCAAACATGCGAAAATGTTGGGACTTGATGGTCATTTTCATGCACAAATCCTGCCTTCCTGCCGGGTGAGCGCCTCACAGCCTGTGCTCACCCTATTGACTGCGTTTGCCTTTCCCTCTGTTTGGATTACCACCAGCAAACATTACGCTGGGCATTCTTTCTGCTAAGGTAGTGATCACTGAAAAGTGGATGGCATCCTGGTGTTATTGAAAGAACCTGGATTTGGGAATCATAACATGTGGGCTTTGAAGTAGCTACCTTCAGACTGTATGAATGCGTTGTTAACCTCACTACGCCTCCCTTTCTTCACCTGAAGTGTTAGGGTTTGGGGGAGAATCAAATGAGATGATATGCATTAATGATCTCCATAACCTGTAGTGTCTAATACACATGTGTGATGGCCTAGGAATAAATCAAGAATCCTGTTGTCAGAAAGTACTCCGTATTGCTGAGTATAGGACATGGGATACCCAGAATATTAAACATAGAAGTTTTTGGTGTATGTAGTTGTGTACTTTTTACAGAAGTGCAAATGAGAGAGAGAAAATGATCCCTGAGTTCTGATTGATAAGGGGGTAAGGCCCCAGGGGATGACCTCTTGTCTGAAGTGGAGCGGGGACTTTTTTTGTGGGGAGGGGACTTTTTTGTGGGGAGAGCGAGGGAAGGCATATACCAGTTAATGTCCTTGAGCAAAGGTACACAGATGGTGCCGGATGTTTCTTAGGTAGTGAGTTGATTGGACTGTTCTGTAAGAAACCTGTAGTGATGGGATTGAAGAGGGCATGGGCCCTAATTGGTTTGGCTCAGTGGATAGAGTATCAGCCTGCAGAGTGAAGGGTCCTGGGTTCGATTCCGGCCAAGGGCATATGCCTGGGTTGTGAGCTCCATCTCCAGTAGGGGACGTGCAGGAGGCAGCCAGTCAATGACTCTCTTATCATTGATGTTTCAGTCTTTTTTCCCTCTCCCTTCCTCTCTGAAATCAAAGATAAATAAATAAATAAAAAGAGGGCATGGATTGCTTGAAGTAGCAGGAAGCTGTTGAAGGTTTTGAGATTAAAGTGGGTTTAGGAAAATTATTCAGATCGTTTGGAGAGGTAAAAATTAAAAGCCTTCTGGTAAGGCCTTATACCAATGGTTCTCAACCTTCCTAATGCCGCGACCCTTTAATACAGTTCCTCATGTTGTGGTGACCCCCCATTTCATTGTTACAAATTGAACATAATTAAAGCATAGTGATTAATCACAAAAACAATATGTAATTATATATGTGTTTTCCAATGGTCTTAGGTGACCCCTGTGAAAGGGTCGTTCGACCAGCAAAGGGGTCGAGACCCACAGGTTGAGAACCACTGCCTTATACCATAGTAGTTTATAGGGATTAGTGTAAAAAGAAAGACAAGTTTAAGTTCTAGTGTAGCATGTTAAAAGCTGCGTGGCTTTGGATAAGTTACTTGGTATTCCTGAATTTAAATTTTCTTATGTAAATATTGTGGATGCTCATCCTCCTATATAATAAAAGCCTAATATGCAAATTGTCCCCTTGACCGGGAGTTGGACCAGGAGACTGGGAGTTCCACCACTTGCTGTGATGTGCACTGACCACCAGGGAGCAGCACGGAACACAGCAGGCGTCGGTGACACTCTGTGACCTCTCCCAGGCTACCTGGGGGTGGGAGTGATGGGGACAGAGGTGCAGTGAGAATGCGGGGGTTTCCACTGAGCTCGCTCTCACTCCCACTGCTACCCGCCCCCAGGACGCCAGGGAAGCCCCACGCTCAGGTGCCAGGCTCCTGTGAGGAGCCCGTCCCGCCTCGTACCAGAGTGGCCTCTGGCCTCTTCTGCTTGAGCCGGGCAGCAGCCACCAGGACCGCAGGGGCTGGTCAGGCTCCTGTGGATTTGCACAGGAGCCAGTCTGGGAAGAAGGTCAGGAGAAAGCATGCTGCCCACCTGGCTTCCGTGCGGCACCGCTGGGCGGCCCAGAGACCCACACTACACCCAGTCTGCATCTCCTCATGGGGACTCAGGCGGGGCGGGGGGTGCTGCCTAGGGCCCAGAGGTCAGCTGGGACCTGCCCTTCCACACCAGATGCTCTTGCTTCGATCACCGGCCAGGCCTAGGGACCGCACCCATGCATGAATTTCTTGCACCAGGCCTCTAGTATATACATATTATTATAGGCTTGTTGTAAATATTAAATTGTATAATATTGGTAAATGTTCTTTGTAAAGGGCTATAAAAATAGAATGACAAGGTGATGAGAACTCCCAACTTGAATAACAGAAATAGACGAAAATAGACAAAGGAACACTTGGCAGAATTAACCAAGAAGTGATATAGAAATAAGTCAGGAGCTGTTTAGGCACTTTTGGAAAACTTCTTTTCTGCCCTACATTGAGTTATTCCCCTTCTGAATTCTCTAGCATTCATGGCACATGGGAATGAAAAAATTAAGTCAGGAGTTATTTAGGTACTTCCTTTTGGAAAACTTCATTGCTGCCTTACATTGAATTGTTCCCCTTCTGAATTCTCTAGCATTTATGGCACATGGGTATTAAGCTGTCACTTAATGTGACATACTGTCTTGTATTGTTATACCAATTTGTATTTGTCCATTTTCCCATGAGGGGTTCTGGAATAAGTACTTGCAGTATTGAATTAGGCAGAGAAAAAAACTTCCAATTTGCCACTTCAGTCTTCAGAAACAGTCTTAGAAGATGGTGCCTCAAGTTGTCTGAAAACTGAGGGTACTGTGGAAGAGAACATAGGAAAAAATATTCTCAGTGGAACAAGATCTGAATGAATAGAGAAACTTTCGCTCTGTGGGCATGAGGGGCTTACAGTATTTTTAATTTGATTTGTCTTGATTTTTTTGGAGGGTTTTTATTTTATATCCTCCAGCTGTAATTTCACTTGCCATAAACAAATGTAATAAAGCGATGCAAATGTACTTATAGCTTTCCCTCAGCAGATGTGAATTTCTGTTCCAGGGAACATGACTTTAAGAACAAAACACTTCCAGTTTCCTGGTCTTAAAAATAAGCATGCAAATATAATCTTCTAAACTCCATCACAGAATAACTTAGATCATTGCAATAAGTTATTTTGCCCAAAATACACCAAAACATCTTGTTCTACCTAGCAGGCTATAAAGAAAAATTGCTTGCTTAATTTGTTTTGGCTATTACAATTAATGTTATATTAAATCATTCTTTCCAGAAACTAAATCCTTTCTGTCTCCTGATGGGATTTGTTTTGGCTGTTAAACTGTGGTATTAAACCATGCTTTCTAGAAGCTATATCCAGACCCTTTTAACCTCATAGGTGGATTTCTGTCTCCTGGTTGGACTATCAAGCTTAATCTTAAAGTCCAGCTTTTGTATCTTAGTAATTGAGAACACAGGCTCTGGAGCCAGGCCATCTGTCTTTGAATCCTGCCTGCCACTTACCAGGTATGTTCTTGGGCAAGTTAGTAAATCTGTTTATATCCGTTTCTTCATCTTCAACGTGGGGATAATTATAGCATTTACCTTAAAAGGTGGTGTCTGGCACATAATAGGTACTCAACAAAATACATGTAGCTACTGCTAACTAGCAGTTATTCTGGGTATATTAGCTTTCTTAAAATATTTTTCATAACATGGTATGGAGACTGTCTACATCAGACCCCCTTGGAATCCTGGTTAAAAATACAGATTTTTGGACCTCATTCCAGACCTGAGTCAGATTCTCTAGATGTGGGGCCTGGACATCTGCGTGTTTTCACACATAGCTATTTATTTCCTCTACATTTTAACAATTACTTCTGGGTTGAGAACTACTGTCCTAGATGACTTTTTAAATCTCTTCTGGTTCTGACATCTTAAGTTTTTTTTTTTTTATTTGTTTATTAACTATTCTGCTTAATCAATAGTGTTTTCTCTAAAATGCTTTAATGAAGAGATCTTGAAGCTCATTTGTTCCAACCTCCTCATTTTGTAGACATGGATACAGTTGGAGAGGGGAAAAGAAGCAACTTGCCCAAGACCACACAGTGAGTTAGTGTCAATCTAGAACAGCGGTTCTCAACCTGTGGGTCACGACCCCTTTGGCGGTGGAACGATCCTTTCACAGGGGTCGCCTAAGACCATCCTGCATATCAGATATTTACATTACGATTCATAACAGTAGCAACATTACAGTTATGAAGTAGCAACGAAAATAATTTTATGGTTGGGTCACAACATGAGGAACTGTATTTAAAGGACCAGAAGGTTGAGAACACTGGTCTAGACTATATAATCTTATATAACTCAATAAAAATCCCAATTTTAAAAAGAATAAAAGAATACGTGAATAGCTCCACAGAAGATATATAGATGGCCAATAAGCACATGAAAAGAAGCTCAACATATTAGTCATTAGAGAAATTCAAATCAAAACCACAATGAGATACCACTTTACACCCACTGGTCTGACTATAATAAAAAATAAAAAAAATATTGTTGGTGAGGAGGATGTGGAGAAATTGGAACCCTTTTACATTGCTGGTGGGAATGTAAAGTGATGCAGCTACTTTGGAAAACAGCATATCAGTTCCTCAGAAACTTAAACATAGAGTTAACATATGACTCGGCATATTCCACTTCTAAGTATAAACCCAAAAGAATTGAAAATATAAGTCTTGCATGAAAACATGTATGCAAATTATAATAGCATTCTTCACAATAGCCAAAAGGTAGCTACAACCCAAGTATTCCCCAAGTATTTGTTGATAGATGTATGTATAAACAAAATATTGTATATCCATGCAGTAGAATATTTAGCTATATAAAGGAATAAAGTACTGATAGTTATTACAACCTGGATGAACTTTCAATACATTATGTTGAGTGAGAGAAATCAGTCTCAAAAGGCTGCATATTGTATGATTCCATTTAGTATATAAAATGTCTAGAAAGGGCAGATCCATGCAGACAAAAAGTAGATTAGTGGTTGCCAGGGCTGAAGGGAGGCTGGGAAGGGAGTGACTGCTTATGGCAGCGGTTCTCAACCTGTGGGTCGAGGCCCCTTTGGTGGTTGAACGACCCTTTCACAGGGGTCGCCTAAGACCATCGGAAAACACATATATAATTACATATTGTTTTTGTGATTAATCACTATGCTTTAATTATGTTCAATTTGTAACAATGAAATTGGGGATCACCACAACATGAGGAACTGTATTAAAGGGTCGCGGCATTAGGAAGGTTGAGAACCACTGGCTTATGGGTATGAGGTTTCTTTTTTGGGTGATGAATGTATTCTGAAATTAGGTAGTGGTGATAGTCACACAACCTTGTGAGAATAATTTAAATTTAAAAAACAACTGAATTGTACATTTTAAAATGGCAAGTTTTACAGTATGTGAATTTTAAATTTTAATTTAAACTTAAAATTTCTATAGTGCTTATTGAGTAACGTATGAAGCTTCAAATTATTGATATTATTATTAACTTCGTATTCACCATTTTGTAGCTCAGTGATATCACAGAAGTTAGTAACTTCCATTTGCCCAGGTCCCTTTTTTGGCTATTGTCTGCACCATTTCTCTGCTGTGGCCTCCCTCTTGTGAAATCTCAGTAGTAGTTTTTCATATTACTCACTCAACCTTTCAGTAATATTTGACTCATTGATCACTTTCTTCTTGAAATATTTTCTTTATGTGGCTTCAAGAACACTTCTTGCTCTTGCTTTTCTTCCTCCTTCACTGGTCTCTCTGTTAGTTATTTATTTATTTAGTCTTCTTCCTGGCCTGTAAACATTGGCAAGTCTCTGGCCCTCTTCTCTATCTACACTCATTCCAAAGAGATACCCAGTGTCATGGCTTAAATATAATCTGTAAGTTGATGACTTCCACATTTCTATTTCCAACCTGGACCTCTCCTCTGATCCCTAGACTTATATATCCAACTGCCTACTTGCCATCTCCGCTTAAATGGTCTAATATATATTTCTATTTTATATGTGATAACTATATAATAATATTACTGCTATAAATACTGCTACGTTTATAGCCTTGTATATTATTTCATGTCGATGTGGATATGGAAAAATGTCCAGAAGTGGGAACTTGAATCCAAGGTGCTAAGTTGTCTTCTATAGGTGTTGTATCATTTTGAATTTCTGCCAACAATGTGTGAGAGAATCACTTGCCTCTAAGTAGCACAGTATTTGGTAACCTTTTTCAGCCTCTGCAGATGAGGGAAATTGAAGCAGGGTTTGTTCAAACGTCACAACTCACTTGTGATATAACTTGGTTTTTCATTCAAAATGTTCTTTCCAACAGATTACACTGGATTTGCTGTTTTCCTATAGTTAAAACATGCTGGTAAAACATAAAAGTTGTTTGCCGATGAAGATACTAGTATATTAAAGGAGACCTTCCTCATTTTATTAGTGTCTGAAAGTTCATAGATATATATTCCCCGAATTTTGTGGTCACAAATGAAAGGATAACCAAGTGGAGATCTTTTCTATACTCACATTTGGGCAGAACAGGAATGGGATATGTGAGTTCACACTGTAGTCTCTAGCCCATGTAAGTGTTGTGGTTTTGGGCTTATAGATTTTTTTTTAATATATATTTTATTGGTTTTTTTACAGAGAGGAAGGGAGAGGGATAGCAAGTTAGAAACATCGATGAGAGAGAAACATGGATTCAGCTGCCTCTTGCACGCCCCCTACTGGGGATGTGCCCGCAACCCAGGTACATGCCCTTGACCGGAATCGAACCTGGGACCCTTGAGTCCATAGGCCGACGCTCTATCCGCTGAGCCAAACCAGCTAGGGCAGATTTTTGACTTCTCAGCATGGAGACTGGCAACATCCTGAGCACCACCTGATTCTAGTGACACTAGACTCCTTCACCTTCATTTCTAAGTGTTCTGTCTTTTAGATGTCCAACATCAGAAGAGAAAGAGTAAATGGTACTATACTTAAGAGTGTCCTTAAGGAAGTAGTTCATTTTACTTTCAGTAAGATGCCATATTTCTTGATGAACAACTCTTTATTTTACAGTGGAAGATTGATGATAAGCCTGTAAAAATTGACAAATGGGATGGATCAGCTGTGAAAAATTCTTTGGATGATTCTGCCAAAAAGGTACTTTCTTGAGGTGGGGGTCTATTAGTGTGTGTACAGCTGATGGTTCATCTGCAGGATCTTTTTCTTCTATCACTTGGAATGACCTTAGTTTTCCAGTGTTAGGAATTGAGCCTTATAGTGTATGTGGGGGAGCGTGTGAAAAAATATAAATGTTAGCTACCTAACACCCCTCTTCAAGTTCTCTAACATTTCAACGTCAGAAAGCTGTTACTCTGTTGTTTTTAGGTTAATTAGCTAAGAGCCAAGAAGGTTGAGGGAATATGACACATTGATCCATGATTGGTCATCTCTCTAATTATTTTAGTTTCATCCAAGGGAATAAGTTGAGGATTTTAAAAAAATGTATGAGAAGTTGATGAACTTTTTCTCTGGGATCTGTTATAAACAGCTTGAGTCCTTTTGCTTGGAATGATAAAATTCTGATTAGAAACAACTACTTGGTAATTTATATGATTCCAATATAGCTTTTATCATGGAAATTAAGAGTAAAAGCAGGTTCTAGGAAGGAAGCATTCCTGTTAGCCTGATTCCTTGTTCTTCTCACTAGGTACTTCTGGAAAAGTACAAGTATGTGGAGAATTTTGGTCTAATTGACGGTCGCCTCACCATCTGTACCATCTCCTGTTTCTTTGCCATAGTGGCTTTGATTTGGGATTATATGCACCCTTTTCCAGAGTCCAAGCCTGTTTTGGCGTTGTGCGTCATATCATATCCTTTATTTATACTCAGGTTTGTTTTCTAGTGACTATTTTAAAATCTTTACTGTTTACCTCCCTGTTTCCTACAAAAAACAAACTTTGATCTGGGAGTCTGCCAATGTTAGAATTTAATATTATCAGCTATGGAAATCTGTAAATTTATCTAGTAATTATCACTGACATTTTAGATTTAATATGTTTATTTTATCGTTAATTCTATTTAGTTATTAATAGAGGTCATAATCCAGGTGTGAGCACCTGATAGCAAAACACAATAATAATGACCTAGTTCTTATTTCTAGTCTAGAACTTCTCCCATTAGACCAGGTTGCTTCAAGCCACTCATACCAGGATATTAGGAAAGGATCAGATGTTGAAGGTTAGATCTGTGTCAGGTTTCCTTGAAGCTGGGAGGCTGGACTGGGAGTTACTGAGCATGAGGTATATAGGTGTGGCTTGTGTAACAGTGGACATAAGAACCTATTGTGGAACTAGAGAAACCTGGGTTCGAAATCCAGGTGGTTTTGTGATCTTGTGCTAATAATAACTCTTTTTTGGAACTGTTTGAATTTGCTCATTTATAAATATGGGTAATATACACTCAGAATTATCATTTTGGTAGGCAGCTTACTTTTCTTAACAGTGTTACCACAATCTGAAATATTTCTAAAGTCTTCACTTTGGGAATTTCTCTTCAAAGATATTTTGCAAGCCATTTAATAAATCAGGTTCTGGTCAAAAATGCTATTATCCAAATTGATTCCAAATCATAGTCCCCAGACATGGCATCTACAAATCATCTCATTATGAAATTTTTCACTATACTTTCCTGCCTCTCACTGTCATAAAATTTAAATTATACAGTGTATACAAAGCTCTTATGCCAATTTCTGGCACATAATAGGTTCTCAAAATAGTTAATACTGTCAAAAACTGAATATAATAAGTTCCATGTATATGAAGTAATTGTTCTTATAGTAAGTTAATCTGAAGTCACTTATCTTCTCTTTTAATGACTCATGAAATTGGTTGAGTTTGGTTAAGTTCACTGTAATTATTAGGTTTGTATTTTATAGAGAAAGAAGCCCAAGTCTTGACAAACTAGGTAACAGGATCTTCTTATACATGTTATCATTGAACAGAAAAAAATGAGAGCTGGTTTATGCCCTTCCCTTTTGAATTTCCCCTTTGAACAGAAAAGATAAGAGCTGGTTTTCTTTCTTCCCCTTTGAAGTTCCCCTTTGAAGTATTCTAACCTGAGAGCCTTGCTTCTCTTGGTATATAGACATAAGGATGAAAATGAAATGGCTAAATATTCAGTGTTTTTACAGCAAGACAGAAATCTTTAGTGGTTTTTGTAGCCCTTGCTTGTCAATATGTGTTAGTTCTCTTTTGTGAGTATGTTTGTGTGTTTTCCCCTTAACCTTATTCGAACCTATTTTGTGATGATGGGGATCCTGACCATTTATACCTCATATAAGGAGAAGAGCATCTTTCTCGTGGCCCACAGGAAAGATCCTACAGGGATGGATCCTGATGATATTTGGCAACTGTCCTCCAGTCTCAAAAGGTATGACTATCCTCACAGATTCTTAAATCCTGGTGTTGGCTTTTCCCTGGGTGTTGAGTCATTTTCAGCAACAGACTATTGTATGCCTACTCTATGCAGATCATACTAGTCATGTAAAATGAAGAAAGGATTATGAATGATCTATAAAGTTTTTCTTAGCATTGCAGTTCTGATCTTGCATTATCACAGATATGCTCTGAGGATTAACTCCGGGAGAAAGTACTTCGGTGGAGAATGAAGAATTATTCTCTTTTTCCTGTGGCTAATTAACTGAGTTAATTAGGGTGCAGACTTATAAAGGCCAAAGGTGTAAAGTCAGTTATCTTTGAAGAATCCCATTAGCTTCCATTTCTTCTTTGCAAACAGGAATCTCTGAAGCAATGTACCAGGCAACTCAGAGAAGGACAATTCAGTCTGTTTCTGACCAGCAGTAGGTATAACTTTGTCCAGCTGACAACTGAGATCTTTCTAGGTATCTAGAATAGGGTTCAAATTCCAGCTCATCTATTTCCAGCTGTGTGACTTCTGGTATGTCATGTAAACTATTTGAGCTTTAGGAGGGTCAAAAATGACTTGTAGCCTTGTTCAGAAAATAAGTTACTAGTTATAATAATAGCAAATTTCTATTGAGCATGTAGTAGTTATTGTGCTCAGTGCATTATCTCATATAAACCTTAGAACAACTCCTTTTTAAAATAAGAACACAGGCCCAAAGAGTTCAGTTAATTCTTTCAGGGTCATACAGCTCAAAAGTGAATTCCACCAGATATTCCAGCACACACCTGAGCCAAGAATTCATGCTCTTTTTTTTAAGATTTTTTAAATTGATTATTTTTTTAGAGCTGAAGGAGGGGTGGGGGGAGAAACATCAGTGTGAGAGCAGAACATCGATTGACTACTTCCTGCATGCCCCCTACCAGGGATTGAATCACAACCCAGGCATGTGCCCTGATCGGGAATCAAACTGGCAACCTTTCGGTGCACAGAGTAATGTCCAACCAACTGAGCCACATCAGCCAGGGTAGAATTCATGCTCTTAGTCATAATCCTAAAAACATAGTACAGTTTCTAGCATGTAGTAGGCTCTCATATTACAAGTACAGTTATTCACAAATAGAAGGTAAGTACAGCATCAGTGTTAAAAAGCTTCTCATTACCAACTTGTGGAGATGCCTGTGAAGAGAAGCAGACCTTCCTTCTGATGTTGCAGCTGAGTTCTTATCTCCTCCTGGCAGTGCTCCTAGCTGCCATTTTGGCCTGTGCCGGGACACTGAAACACAGCTGCAGAATTCTAGATCCTAATATCATCTTGATTTCATTATTTTCATTCTGACTTGTCTTTCTTAAGCAGCTTTATTGAAATATAATCCACCTACCATACAGTTTACCCATTTAAAGTGTATACAGTTCAGTAGTTGCTAGTGTATTTACAGATATTTGCAGTTGTCACCACAATCAATTTTAGAACATGTTCATCACCTCACAAAGAAAGCTATACCCTATCCTCCCATTCCCCACAACCTTAAGTAACCACTGTTCTACTTTCTGTCACTATAGACTTTCTTGTTTTGGATATTTCATATGAATGAATCTTATAACATGTGTTTTCTTTTGTAACAAGCTTCTTTCACTTAGCCTAATGTTCTCAAGGTTCATCTGTGGTGTAGCATGTGTCAATATTTCATTCCTTTTTGTGCTGAATAATGCAATACACAGCATGTATATATTGCTTTTTGCTTACCCATTTATTAGTTGGTGGACATTTGAGTTGTTTCCATCTTTTGGCTGTTATGAATAATGGTGCTCTAAACATTTGTGTACATTTTTGTGTGGACATGCATTTTCCTTTTTTGGGTAATATACCTAGGAGAGGAATTGCTGGATCCAATTTTAACTCTTTTTAAATTGGTTGAGGAAATGCCAGATGGTTTTCCAAAATAGCTGCACCATTTTACAATCCCACTAGCTTTGTATGAGGGTTCTGATTTTTCCATATTTCCTGCTGATTTTTACCAATTGCCGCATTATTGGTGTCTCTGGAGAGGAAATAATGCCACCTCTTTTCCTTCTGATTGCAGTTAAATATAGACCCACTTCTCTTTACTTGAAGAAAGCTTCTGGTTCATTGATAGTCTCTCTAACATAGCTCTTTCCAGAAATCTTAGTGGTTGATGATTCTAGTACTTCAGCCTCTCTCAGTTTTACTTTCTCTTTTCTGGTTGGTTATCTTGTTTTCTAGGAAGTCTTACACACACACACACACACACACACACACACACACACACACCCGCCCAGAGAGGGAGGGAGAGATAGAAACATCAATGAAGAGAGAATCATTGATTAGCTGCCCCCTGCATGCTCCACACTGGGGATCGAGCCCGCAACCCAGGCATATGCCCTGACTGGGAATCGAATTGCAACTTTCTGGTTCATAGGTCGATGCTCAACCAGTGAGCTACGCCGGTTGGGCTCTACCAAGTCTTAAGCACTTTTTTCCCTGGTCATATACTAGACCTTGCTATTACTGATAGGTAAGTACCTTCAATAATTTCAGTTTTAATTATCCCACTCTCCGGCCACTGCTTCGTATTTTTCTAGTCTATCTCCTTGTAGTTTTCTTGTCCTAACAGTTCTTCAGCTCCATTGGCTTCCATTGAGTCTGCCACCTTTTCACTTTACTGTCCCTCTTCCCCTCACTTTCTCCTTACCCAGCTTAGATTCCATGGCATTTCTATAGTCCAGTTACTCTCTCACTGTCTAGGATCTTTCATACCTTCTCTATCTTCAATCCTCCTTCTCTCCTCCTGCACCTTTACTCTCAGTCTCTTTTGTTCCTGAGAAGATAGAAGCAACGGGAAGTCTCTCATCACTACCTGCTCATCATATTCCGCCTTTGTAAGTTCCTGTCTGATGCTGACTCTACATTTGTCCACTAGATTCTTACCCCTTCTCGTCGACTTGATGTTTCTCCTTCTGCTGAATTATTCTTTCTAACATACAAACACGCTGTCATTTCATTTCTCCCAACTAAAAAAAGTTGTTTTCTTTCTCCTTACTCTCCTCGCACAGTGTTCCCATTTCTCTGTCCCCTTGTCCTCTTCTCCCATTTTATCTTCTGATCTGCTCCTCTTTACTTCTCTTTCCTCATCGTACTTGACCTATCAGCAGCATTTGACACAGTGGATCACTCTCTCCTTGTTACACTTTCTTTTTAAAACAGGCTTCTAGGATACATACCATAATCTTCTAATTTTCTTCTTACTGTAATGTCGGTTTCTTAGTCCTATAATTCTTCATTATTCCCTTTCTCTAAATTTGAGATGCGACCAGTGCTTGTTCCCAGCACCTCTTCTCTATATTCACTCATTAAGTGTAAACTTACTAGACTTTCAAGACTTTAAATACCATCTATATGATGAAGATCTTTAAATCTGAGTTTTCATCCTAGCCCTCTACTCTGAATTCCCAGTGTATCCCAGCTTTCTATTTAACACTGGATCCTAATGAACATCTCAAAATGAACACATCTAAAACATAACTCTGCTATCCCTCATTTAAACCTGCCTCAATAAATGGCAACTCCATCCTTCTAATTACTTAGGTCAGAACTCTGACTTCACTTCTCTCTCTCAGTTCTTCCAACAAATCCTGTCAGCCCTACCTTCTAAGTATATTCATTCTGACCACTAAACATCTCCACTGCTACCATCATCTCTCAATTAGGCTACTGTAATAATGTCCTAATGGACCTCTGCAGCTGCTCTCCCTGCCCATAGTCTATTCCCAGTACAACAGGCAGAGTGATCATTTTAAAACTTAAGGCAGATCAACTCAATCCCCTGCTCAAAACTCTTACTCATAGGAAAAAACAAAACAAAAACAAAAACTGAAAAATTAAGCATAGCTTGGAAATCTATACTTATTTATTTTCTGCACCCCATACACATGCACACACCCCCCTCATCTCTTGTGGCTTTTAGCCTCCTACTCTATTATGTTCTTTCTTATTGGTCTCTTTTCTGTTCTTCGTGCATTCCAGGCATGTTCTTGTCTCAGGACCTTTGCATTTGCTGTTTCCTCTGCCTGGGCTAGTCTTTTTTCAGGTAGCTTGTTTTATTACCTACTTTAGGGCTCTGCTCAAGCATCGTATTTTTTACTTTATTGTTGGTTTCCTTACACACACTAAAGTTCTCAAAGACAGGTTTGTCCTTGTGTTTACTGCTCTATGTCCTTAGCATGTAAAACTGCCTGACATGCATAGTTGGGGCTGAATAAAATATTTATTGAATTAGTGATTAACTATTTCTAAAATGCATTAGATCACAACTCATCAGATCATGTTCTGCCATCAAAGCCATGGAACTGCCAATGGAACTGGATCCAAATGTCCAAATATTGGTGTGATATCAGCAGTAGTTGGTCTTCACTCCTAGCTCACCAGGTGTGACAAATAACTGGCTAGATGACAGTGACTAAGTTATGATTTTTTTTCAGCACTGGTTAATGATAGGCACTGTTTTAACCATGACAGTGATCCTGAAAAGTAGGTGGTAGTTTTCCTATTTTAAATGCATAGGAACAGGCTAAAACAACTGCTTCCTTTAAAGGTAATTCCAGCCTGACAGTCCATTGAATCTGCCCTAATTAAATGGAGGCAGAAACAGGTGGCAATAGGGGAAGACTGTCAGCCCGCCAGAGGTTGATGTTATAAACCAGCCGTGGGCAAACTACGGCCCGCGGGCTGGATCCGGCCCGTTTGAAATGAATAAAACTAAAAAAAAAAAAGACCGTACCCTTTTATGTAATGATGTTTACTTTGAATTTATATTAGTTCACACAAACACTCCATCCATGCATTTGTTCCGGCCCTCCGGTCCAGTTTAAGAACCCATTGTGGCCCTCGAGTCAAAAAGTTTGCCCACCCCTGTTATAAACCTTTCTGAATGGATGGAGATAGTAAAGGCCTTCAAGATTCCTTAAGGTGTAGCTAAGGAATCTCCAGAGTTCATGGAGCAAAAGAACATCCCTTGCCTAGCATCAGGGTAGAACATGGAGCTAGACTGATTACAGGGTCTAAGGATTGAGCAGCCTGGAATTGGGGAGCACCTGTGAAAACAAAGGTTCTTCATTTACTTATAAAAATGTGATTGCCCAGCAAGTGCCAAGCTAAGAATAGAATACAAAAAAGACAAACATTTTTCCCTTAAGAATCTCTGAGTCCAGTGAAGAATACAAATACAAAAAAAAGAGAAAAGAATACAAATACATAAACATTATTTCTATAGGTAATTTCATTGATAGCATGGGAGCCTGTCATTGAACTTGGCATATGATAGGCACTCAGTATTTTACTATTGATTGATGGTGCTGTGGAAGACAAGGGGGAGACATCTGACCTAATTTGGGAAGGCTTTCTCAGAGAAGTTTAAGACCTGATATTAACAAACTAGAGGCCCAGTGCACAACATTTGTGCACAGGGGGGTGGGGAGGAGGGGGAGAAGTTCCTCAGCCCGGCCTGCACCCTTTTGGGGGAGCTGCCGGCAGGCGGACATCTCCTGAGGGGTTCTTAGCGCCACCTGGGAAGTGGAAGAGGCTCCCACCACTGCCACTGTGCTTGCCAGCTTCGAGCCTAGCTTCTAGCCTAGCTTCTAGCTGAGTGGTGCTCCCCCCCATGGGAGCGCACTGATCACCAGGGGGCAGCTCCTGCATTGAGCGTCTGCCCCCTGGTGGTCAGTGCGTGTCATAGCGACTGGTCGTTCTGCTGTTCAGTCGATTTGCATATTAGCCTTTTACTATATAGGATGGGAACCAGTCAGTTGAGATTGGAGAGAAGTGGCTACTAGGAAGACACTTCTAGCACAAGTAATAAAGTCCAGAGGTGAGAGAAGATGTTCCATATGGCTTAACAGTTTATGACAAGATAAAGGAGGTACACAGTAATTAAATCAGGAACACAAAGCAACACCTATGAATCAGCATTTGTATCTTGAAGGCAGTTTTTTGAGAGAAATCTTTGTGTAGGCTTCTCACCTCTATTCTTCGAAAATACTTGGTGCTCTGCTTTTACTGGGTGAATCTCTTCCTTTGGTTTTTTATGGTTTTTGATTTATTGTTTTTGCTTAGGTTTGATGACAAATACACTCTGAAGCTGACCTTCATCAGTGGAAGAACAAAGCAGCAGCGGGAAGCTGAGTTCACCAGGTCCATTGCTAAGTTTTTTGACCACAGCGGGACACTGGTCATGGATGCATATGAGCCTGAAATATCAAGACTTCATGACAGTCTTGCCACAGAAAGAAAAATAAAATAACCAATTCTAAAAGCAGCCATCTTTTTGCAAGATCATGCAAAATTATGGAGTGAAAAGGAAAGAAGCAATGTAAAAAATGTTAAATGTTACTGTTTTGTCCTGAAATTTAGTCCATTCTGGATAAATAGGATTTTCTATCTGAGATATGAGAAATTATAGCTCTGATATCTAGCTGTAGCTTCCTTGGTCTGCTGATTACACTGTTTTCTTTTGCTTTTCTGGAGAAGCATTTTTGCTAAAAACTGAACAGACTTTCTCCTTCATATCTAGCAGAATAGTATAGCTTTGTGCCATGCAGAGTATTAAGACTCAGTTTTTAAAATTGTCAATCTGTTGCTGACTTTATTGTGTTAATTCCTGTTTCAATAGCTGTTTTAATTGTATCCTTAACTCAGGATACAATTACTTGTATACATCTTCACACACCATTTTTTTGTGGTGTGTATATATCTGACGAGGTGAATTGGGGAAAAAACCCAGCTTTTTAATTTGTTTAAAATAGACCCTCTGCCTGTTACATTTTGTGTGCTCTTAACCGATTAAAGAAGCCAATGACATTTTTAGTTTTATATTGTCTATGCTTTTCACTAGTATATCCCTGTTGATTTGCTGATTTGTTTGTGTCCTTTATTAACTGCCATTTTCTAAAATTTTTTTCAATAAAAAGAAGATTTGAAAAAATGGAGTTTTTGATGGTTAGTTTTGATGGATGGAAGAATAGAGCAGCAAGTGTTAACAGTCTTACTCTACCGTAGGTTTCTTTCATTCTAGGCTGTTTTATTGGTCAGAGACCCCTAAGAACCTGTAGTGAGGAACTGGTAACTTTCCAGTGATAACAATGACATTCAGTACTTACTTTGTGTCAGGTAATGTACAGGTATTAACTCAGTAATGCTCACAATGATCCTAAGAAGTAGTTGTTATTATTATTATTATTATTATTATTATTATCCCCATTTTATAGCCTGAGGGAAATGAGACACAAAAAGTTAGTGATAGAACTGGGATTTAAACCTGGGTAGTCTGGCTCCAAAATTGTGAACATCTTCTTTTCCAGTATTTTCCTGTGGTAGAGAAGAACTCAGCACTTGCCTAGATCCTGTGAGCTATAATGATATTGTCCCTCTATCCTTACAAAAGTAAATTCTTGCTGAACCTAGTTCCTAAAACTATATTCACTTTATAAAACATCATGCTTATCACGTTTTGCTCTTTGACTTGGGAATGTTGCCCCCTATCTAGTGTCACACCAAGGGGTGTGGAACATCAACAGGTGGGAGTTTTATTCCTGACAAGCTGGGTAAGTCATGTAATTCTCTGAGCTTCTAGGGCCCTCTACTCCCACAACCCTTTTTAGATGATAGTTCTATTCTGTAAGCTGTTCTGTCAGCTTTTGAAAGAGTGTAATTGGATAATTGTATTTTCACAATGAATGAGTTAGAGTTACTGTTAGACACGGGGGGGTCCCAAGACTTGTGTTTGTAGATAGGGAATAACCCTCTCCAAGATGATTTCTTGGAGTCTTGCATACTTGGGTATACCTTTTTCTTTACATATATAAACATGTTATCTTCACTTTTTTTTTTTAACTTTTACTTTTTATTGAAGGAAATGAGAAAATTACAGAGACAATGCATGATGCTTGGAAGAATGGCAACTATTGGTTTGTCTCATAGCCAACCCCATCCTATATTCTATCATGCCAACATTAGATCCATTTAGAGATGAGTAACTATCTCAGAATTTTTTTGCAATGGGCCTTGGCTGCTGTAAGGGAGCTTGACCCTTGGGGGGAGAGTTCCCTTTGACAGACTCTTGTAGGAACCATTGATGAGTATTGAATAATACTCTGCCTGGATTTGGTTTATAATGCTATTGAAGGTGACCCACTGAAGAATGAGAAACTGCTGGGAGGGGCAATCTGTCACGAGCCCCGAGTATTCCACTTGGAAGACTTCAGAGTGTCAAAACAAAGACACTTTTCTTTGGGGCCACAAACTAGAATTATTGCTGTTAATTCAACTGTCTGGGTCACTCATGTAGATGCCCTCAGTGGGGGGCCGTTATTTGATAAGACCAACTGGGATCAAGCTGCTGCTGATGGATCCTGTACTACTCAGATTGCCACCATTGTTGCCTGGATCAATCATACCAGACGTGGTATTACACCCACCATAGTAGCCTAGGCACAAAGTAAAACACTTACGTTTCTGATGCAGAGGCTACTGCTGCATGCCAGACTGTGACTCCTTTCAAAAGTCCTGTTTGTCTAGCCTTGAGTGAGACCACATAGCACAGGGCATGGCCGTCACCCACTCTTGGCTATTTTACTATATCGGACCTTTGGCTCCCTCTGGGGGTTATCAGTAGTACCTCACCACTGTTGACATGTTTTTCAGGTTAGTGTTGCTTTTCTAGTTCAGTCAACTCCAGCTACACTATTTTGGTCTTCAAACTAATCTGTCTCATGTTTTTGGTTATCCTGATGACATGCAGTTGAACGGTGGTGCAACTGTTATTGCAAAAGCCACTTAATGGTGGGCTGACAGTCCAGGTATTTGATGGACCTTTAACTCTTCCATCCAGAGGAATTTAGTATTGTTGACTGTTGGAACAGCCTATTTAAAAAATGTACTCAGAAGATTTCTGACCCTACCTCTCTAACCCCATCCTGGTCAATACATTTTAGTAAGGCAGTTTGGTCACTAAATATGGCTGTCCACTGAAAGCAATCACTTCCTCTTGATGGCTATATTAGAGTTCTCTGAAGAAACAGAACAAATAGGATATGTGTGTGCATATATAAAGAGCTGTATTATAAGGAATGGGCTCATGATTATGGAGTTGGAGAAGTCCCATGATCTGCTTCTGTAAGCTGGAGAACCAGGAGACCCAATGATATCATTCCAGTCTGAGTCAGAAGGCCTGCAAACCAGGAGTAAATTCTAGTCCAGAAGCAGAAGACTGATGTCCTAGCTTGCAAACAGGCAGAGTGAATTCTACCTTACCCTGACTTTTGTTCTATTCTGGCCTCCAACAGATTGGAAGAAAGCCCACCAACATCTCAGAGGGCAGTCTGCTTTACTGAGAGCACTGATTCAAATGGTAATCTCATCCGGAAACACTCTCAAACATATCCAGAATAATGCTTAACCAAATATTTGGGGGTCTCGTGCTCCAGTCAAGTTAAGACATAAAATTAATTATAGTTGCTTACTGAGTAATGATCAGAATGAGGGGTTGGGGAGTGTTGTATAGATTTATTTTGAAAATTCAGTATTCTGATGCCCTGACTGGTGCTGGGTATGTTTTCTTTGCCCTAACAGCATCTCCGGGCCAACCTGGTTGCCACACCCTTCAGGTGGCACCTTAGCCAAAGGGAGGCCTTAAGTATTCACATTTAATTCTGGTTTAGCCACCTGGATTCTTTTGTTGGTTTGACATGGTCATAGATATAACATTTGGAAAATGAGTCATTCTTGGAGCCTTCCTCTCAGAGGAGAATGGCATAGTAAAACTCCCCCAAACTGTTGTAAGCTCCCTAAACTTAACTGATTGCTGGTTTTGCCATCCTCACTAGGTGACTCAGATCGCAATTTGATAGCCATTTCCTTTAATCTACTGAGAAGTCTATTGGAAAAATCAGTACTTTCAGCTCCTATACTTCCATGCAAAATATGTCACAACTTCCAAAACCTCCTACCACCCTTGTAGCTATTAGTCATACTATGGGGAGGACAAATGCCACCTGGCTGGTTGTGTAGGCATGTTGGACAGATTGGACTAATTGCCATTAGGCAGTCTTTCCAAAATAAGGACTGGTTTCAATTATTCTAAGTGAACTGAGAGCTCTGAGGCCTACCAGGTGGCCATGAGGCCACATTAGGGACCGTCAACCTGTATTCCCTGAGAGATGTAGGTGCCATTTGGGAGGCCCCAACAATTGTAAACAGGGCATCATATATGCCCCCAGGATATCCCTGTGTGGAAGCCAGGCACAAACTTGCCTTTCTCCCTGAAAACATGGTGCCTTGCACCATAGGGAGGGCCTTAAGCAACTTTCAGGTGTTTAGGGAAGCATCACCAATAGACCAAGTAGTCATCAGGTAACTGTGGAGATTGGTCCAAAACAAGGGTATCCTTGGGTACAGGGGGAGCTTCCTGGAGGGGTGCTGACTCATTTATGCACACTCTGCAGGAGGTTATCCCTATCTTAAGGCTCATTCTACTAGAAACGTTGCTATGGAATTTGTTCCTGACCTTAGCTGAAGCCATCAGTGATACCACTTTAGCCCTGGAATACATTCAGGTGACCCTCAACTCACTAGCCAGTATGGTTATGGATGATAGAATTGTTCTCAACTTCCTTGTGGGCCAAGGTAATCTGGAATAGCCGATGTATCCTGTGTACCAGAATTAATACCTAGGCCAAGTACAAGGCCAATAAAGAAAGTAGAGAATACCATCTGGCTTTCTAAGGTAGACCTTGATGACTTACTGATGGCTTATGGTTGTTGGCACTGGGGGATGTTTTGTTTCTTTGTGTTTTTTTTTTTGTTGTTGTTTGTATTTCCAGCTGGTTTGGTCAAGATCCTTGGGTATAATAGAGGTCAAGTCTGCAGATTGATTTCATCCTGTTTCTTGGAGTTCAGTTGACAGTATCCTTAACTAAATGCTGTATGAGACCATTAGAATGGATTTGGTCCCCATTTTTGACAGATTAATCAGTGAGTGATGGTGCGGCATACTCAAAATTCATTAGAGGCCATCCATACAAAGTGCTGCGGAGGCTTGAATAGGAGTAACTATTTTAGCATGGGGGACTGAGAGGTCCTTATACAGGAAGTGAAACCTGTCTAATTTGCATCATGAAGTAGATCGTGAATAGGTCATGTGTGTCCATTTTACAGATGAAGAACCTGAGGCACAGAAATTAAATAACTTGCCAATGTCACTCAGCTAGGAAGTGGGAAGTCAGAATTGGAGCCAAGATCTCTTCACTTCCAAATCTAGAGATTTCTACTAAACCTCATTGCCTCAAGCATAAGACTGAACCATCAGCTAAAGAAGAATTGAGAGAAATATGGCATTAGTTTTAGGTATTTTTCTAAAATTGGCTTGGTGGTCCACAGAGTTGGTTGTGAGTTTGGGGAAGTCTGGTGAAGAACCCTAGCATTTTGTATAGGCTCATCTTTAAAAATGAAATATTTCAGACATAATAAGGTGTTTTTTAAATATATCTTTTTATTGACTTCAGAGAGGGGGAGAGAGAAACATCAATGATGAGAGAGAATCATCAGTGGGCTGCCTCCTGCACACCCCACATTGGGTGGGGATTGAGCCTGCAACCCAGGCATGTGCCCTGACGGGAATGGAACCCTTACCTCCTGGTTCATGGGTCGACACCAAACCACCAAGACACACTGGCTGGGTTTCAATTACTCATATAATGGACTCAGTTTTATTTTATTCAGTGAATTATAATCTAATACTATTCATATATATATATATAATTTACACACACATATATAATTTTATTTTTTGAGTAGGGGTGGCCCAATCCTCTGGCGCTCTGGTCCTTTTTGTGGAGTCCCCTCTGAGCTCTGAGGTCCGGAACCTTTGCTTGCCTCTCAGGCTGCCCAGGGAAGTTTTAGGCGGTGATACCTACCAACCAACAGAGCGGGGATAGAAAGCTGAAGAGGGGTGGGGGCAGGAAATGGAAGGGTGGGGCGGAGCCCGGGAGCTGCGCAGCCTTTGGGAGACGTGGCAGCACTGAACTTGGCCCTGCGGGTAGGTGGTCGAAGAGGAAGGGTCAGGTTCTTCCCGCCCCGGCTGGGACTGGGCTGGGGACTGAAGGGAGGATGAAGGGAGGAGGG